TAAACAAACTACATTATGTGTTATTATCTCATTAACCTTTCCTGGCTATTTATCTAGAGACAGGTTCTCACTCTGTCACCCTAGCTGGAGTGCACTGGCATCATCATAGCTCACTGCAACCTCAAACTCCTGGACTGAAGCCATCCTCCAGCCTCAGCCTCCTACGTAGCAACGACTACAGGCTTGTACCATCATGGCCAGCTAATTTTCCTATTTTATTTTTTTTAGAAATGGGGCTTCACACTTGTTGAGGCTGGTCTCAAACTCCTGACCCAACGCAGTCATCTTTCCTTGGCCTCCCAAAGTGCTGGGATTACAGGCGTGAGCCACCACATCCAGCCTTTTCCTGGGCATCTTAAAACTAAATTTTTTATGTCTGCCTCTGAGTGATCCCAACCTGTTAATAGTTTTGTCTCTTCTTCTCCCTACATGTAATAACTACTCCCTTAATAATGGCATAAATAAATTACTCTTTCTTATTTACTGTCATTACATATCAGGAAAGATCTTCGGTCCTCTTGATTTACTTTTCTCTAGACACACTCAGATATTTATGGCCACTTCTTCTGCAGCTCCAAACTTTTAAAAAACTTCCCAAACAAGAAATATGTGGACATTTCCCCCCCTTATTTTCTGATTTACTTTGTGGCCTGAATTCCAAGTACGTCCCTGTATTAAATCTTTCTATTATTGATAGCATATTGTAACTTTAAGACTTCTGTATGGTTTCATTTCTCCAGAAATTTAACAGCTAAATCACTTCCTCTGTGCTCAGTGAGATAACACACTCCACCTACCGTCACGTATTTTCCAATCTCATTTAAAACTAAAATGCAGATAGTACATTCCTGTGGAGAAAAAAGATAGTTGTTTTCATGGAAAAATAAAATATTAAAACACATCTGCTACATGAAGGCTATGTTAACCAGTTTGACGGAAGTGTCTTGGATTGTGTATGAAAACACCACACTGTACCCCCAAAGTGCATCAATGTACACAGTTACCATTCAATTAAAAAAAAAAAAAACACATCTGCCACAAAATTGTGCGTTCATTGGCACGTGACTTTAGGTAAAAAGTTACGTAAAATTCTGACGAATGGAAAACTAGAGCTATTTATTTTTTTAAGCCTACATGTCACATGTTAATATGGGGGGCCATATACAGCACTAGAAAAACAAGCTGTTTTGAGAGAGCATAGTAGATAGACATTAATTTCTCATTATACGTATATCATTTATTCAACCATATCTTTTGTAACCAACTGCATAAGCTAACGGGACTACAACCCAAGTGGAATTATGTACGTGTCTTTATAACAAGGCAGCAATCCTACTTTTTAATAGAGTTGTATCTGATTATTTTCTTTTTGTTCAACTTTATCCTTTGCACCTAATGTTTAAAATCCCCACATCAAGTGCTCATCCACAAAGAAAAGCAAAAGAATAAACAATTTGGAACCAATGTACTAACCCATTGGATTGGGCACTGAAATGTGGATTTCCTTACATATTCACCGAGTGGAAAGCTCGTTTAAATGAATGTTTTCTTCTTGTTGTCTCTGAGATGTCAAGTTCACTGGTGTGAATGCTCTTTTTCACTGGCTTAACTAAATCAGTGGGGAAGCCATAGATTTTGCTTCTTCAGAGCAGGGACCTTGGAAAGAGACAAAAAATAAGTTTTTATCCTTGTTCTGGCTACTTCCTGGGTGGGTGAAGAACCTCTCTGAGCTTCATTCAGTTATATGACCTATAAACTGGGCATTTAAACTATCACAGAATTAAATTAATCTTATAAGAAAAACGCTTGGCACATGATGTGACCTCAATACATTTTGCAGGTAGCTTCTATTGTTGCTATTAGCGTGATGGTCATGGTGATAGAGCATTATCTATAATGTATTCTAATTATTTCAGAATTCCTGCTGCCACTGATCATTACCCAGTACCAAGGCTTTGGAGAGAAAATGATTCTAAATAAAATAATGTATGGGGGAATGTCGCTGGCAAAGACTTAGTCATGAGTATACAAGCGTCAAAAAATACCCATTCACACACAAAGTTCTTTGAGTTGAAAATTACCATGTTGCTAGCAATTAGGATCTGGATAGATAGTTAATTTGAAAAGGCTGATTTTGGACATGTAATCTTCCCCTGAATATGCACATAAACATCATGTCTTTTGATTAGCATCTGAGCTCAGCCAGTGTGTGTTTGCTATTTGGAACCCTTCCTTAAATGGAATGGGTGGAGTGTGATCCGCCCCTGGATCACAGTATTGTCTGGTGGACAAAACAAACTCATACTGAGTGCCAACCTTGGAGCAAGAAAGGTCGTGTACTTGCCCTCGGGGCTTTTCAAAGATTATCTCATTTAATCTTTGCACGTTATCATTTTAAAACAAAGCACATTTATTTTCATATTATTTATGAGAAAATTCAGACTTGTCCAAGGTCAACAGAGCTAATACCTGGCAGAGATGGTTTTCAAACTCAGGTCTACTTAACTAGAGTATTTTCATTCATTATGTAAGTAGGGTTTGCCATGGGGGAATCTATGTCAATTCACTATTAAGAAGGATTTCTAAATATTTTATTCTTCTCAAGTACCAGAGTAATGTGATATACTCTGAATGCCCAAATCTTATAGAATGGAATGAATACATAAACTAAAAAGGAACAGTAATCCAGTTTTATAAGCTCAGAAAGGACAGTTAAAATTCATTGCATTTCTCATTTTCTTTCTCATTTCTTAATACTATTTTTCTAGTCAGAAATGCCGATCGTCTTTGCCTAGATGAGCCCTGATCTCTATTATCTATCAGCTCTTAATTTTTCATGAAACTCTGAAAATTGAATGAGAAATCTGTACAGAAACATAGATGACTTACTCTAAGCGTCATCTAAGTCTTTAAGAACCGCTAGGTAGAAGTGACAATTGAGACTGATTTAGGGGTCATGGCTTAATTTATAACATTAATTCCATAATAAACTTTTTAAAATCTGTGTTTTAATTTCTTTTGAAGAAATCTCAAGATTGTATCCTTAAAGGGAAAAATACCATAGTCACCTGGTGCTCATTGAACAAAAAGAAGTCTATTACATCACAAATGTAACTCAAATTATAGCATTGATTTGTTTTGTGCTGAGTATGTGTGTGTCCTTCGTGTGCCCTTCTCACACCTCCCTGCTAGCAGTCTCCAGGTTGTCGTGATTAGGTGTTATGTGTCAGACCTGCCTGCTAAACTCTTGAGTCCCTACAGGGCAGAAGCTGTGTTCTCACAAAGCTTGCATCCTGAGCTGACAATCAAATGGTACTTACTGGAATTTTGACAAGTACATAAGAGATGAAGACAACAATGCATAAACTTAAATTTTTTCTAATTCCAGAATAATCTGGTAATTAAGACATGTATATACATAATTTTTCATGATTCTGAGTTCTCTTTAAAGCTATGCCTGAGTGCAGAAACGTTCCCATCTATAACTGCAGCCTTGTTGATTGTTGAGCTCATATGAGATAATCATCATCAACCCCCAAAGTGGCCAGCATGGAGGAGTTGTCAGTGAAGATTACTGTGCTCCAGTGTGCACAGCCAAATGGCTTGCAACCCTGCATGACACACTTGAATTGGAATAGCCCCCAAATCTGATAAGAGGTTATTAAATGAAATACTGTAAACAACAAAAAGTGAAGTAGCACTTAACACTCGCCTTCGTGAGAGGATTTACAGTTGGGAGGGTAGCAGGAAAGATATTTTTTGAACAATAAAATGTCTCACTTTATTAGACGTATTTCTTATATTAACTCATTTTTATTTGCAACTGCTTACTTACTGACTCAAACTATGATCTTTGGGTTTATAAATGTCTTATCTCTCTCACCAGACTTGACCTCCTTAAGTGAATAAAACTTACTTCCAAAAAGAACCATGAATAGTCCCTTCTAATTTAAAAATACATAAGAACATTAAAATAACATGCCCGTATATACACATATGCCTACTAATATACTTTATATAGTGGTGCATGAGTGTCATGGCTCAGCACCCATGCTCAATGGTTAGGGCACTGGCCACATACACTGGGGCTGGTGGGTTTGAACCCTGCCGGGTCTGCTAAACAACAATGACAGCTACAACAACAACAACAACAAAATAGCCGGGCTTTCTGGCAGGTGCCTGTAGTCACAGCTACTTGGGAGGCTAAGGCAAGAGAATCACTTAAGCCCAAGAGTCTGAGGTTGCTATGAGCTATGATGCCACAGCACTCTACTGAGGGTGACAGTGAGATTCTGTCTCAAAAAAAAAAAGGAGAGGGAGTCATATACTGGGTATATATTGAGAGAAAAGTATAATTACAGATAATAGAATGGTTTGTGAAGTGAACAGAATTATCAGAAAATATGGATTTTCTTCCTGATAATGGTATTAAATTACAGAGAGGCTTTAAACTTCTGATTCTTCTACTATACCTGCCCTATCCAATAGAATTTTCTGGAATGTTCTTATCTGTGCTATCCAATGTGGTGAGCCCTGATGGAGTGTGGCTGTTGAACACTTGGCATGTGACTAGTATGTCTGAGGAACTGAATTATAAATTATATTCATTTTTAACACTTTAACTGAATGTGAGTTGAATTTAATTTACTCTTGCTTTGAGCCTGGGGCCTCGTGAAGCGTATATATCTCACAGGTCTCTTGACCTATCTTCACCACATAAAACACCAGGGCCCCAAGGAAAAAAATTTTTGTCAATATGTTAATTATTTTAAATCTAAATAGGCACATGTGGCAAGTGGCTCTTTCAGTGAACAAAACAGCTATAGAATCAAGGAGCATGTCACAGTATCATGTGATAGGAAGCTAAACTGAATTTCCCGGGTATAGGTGCTACCAAGGCTGTGTGCAGCAGCAGAACTCTTCTCTTGAAATAGTGATACTTTCCCAAGGTATTATAGACTTTAAAGTTTAATTACGTTTTACTTTATTTCTCCCAACAGATCTTGAAAACTTTAAAACAAGAACAAGAAGCACGGTGTCTGTCCGTCGAGGTCAGGGAATGGTACTCCTGTGCGGCCCGCCCCCTCATTCTGGAGGTGTGTATACATGCTCTCACGTGCATTCTATACTGACTGCTGTGTTTCCTCCTTGAATGTGCTCCCTCTTGACAACAGCTGAGTGGACAGTATCATTTATAGGGGTTCCCAAAGTCCCTCCATATAGGAGAAGAACCACTGTGAATGCCTCTTAAAATGAGCGTAGGAAAATTTCAGATTGCGCAGATGATCCAGGGCACTACTGTGTCCTGGCACAAGGGGAAAGACACCTGGAGTCAATCAAGATCAGAATCCTGTGACTTGCTAAAGCAACATAGCTTGTTGCAAAGTAGCAACCAGTACTACCTACAACCTGGTTGGGTTGAAAAAAATGGTCCTGCTTCATTTCCTATCAGTGTTGGTGTGGGAATGATCTGTGAACTATCTCTACTCCACTTCTGATACTAACTCTATGAGTTTTTTCACACCAACAACCAATTTTTCAACCCTCTGGACATCGCCTGGCTGTCCAGTGATTCCATTGCATTGACACTAACAGACCTTCAGGGTACGGGCTCAGTCCCTCCCCCACTTCAGATGCCAATCACTAGCCCTTGACCTCCTGTACTTCTTACCAATTGCATATAAATTGGGGGCTCACACAATTCCCTCCTCAGACTCCATAATTTATTAGAATGGCTACCAGAACTCAGAGAAAACAGTTCACTTACTATACCAGCTTATCATAAAGAATACATGGAAACAGCCACATAAAGCCTACTCCAGGGCAAGGTCTGTCTGAGCACAGGGGTTCCTTTGCCTGTAGACCCTCCCAGCACATGGATAAGCTCGTCAGCCCAGAAGCTCACCAAACCCTGTGGTTCCATTCATTGGCCATTGGTAATTGCACTCAATTTCTAACCCCTCTCTCCTCCCCAGAGGTCAGGGATTGGGGACACAGGAGGAGAAGTGGGGGCTAAATTTTCTGTAAGCACCTAGTCCCCAACCTGGGTTTGATTAGCATAAACTCAAGTATGCTTGAAAGGGACTTACTATGAATAAAAAAAGATGCTTCTCTCACCTGTATCACTCAGGAAATTATAAGGGTTTTAGGAGATCTGAGCCAGAAACAAGAGACCAAATATGTATTTCTTATTAGCCTCAACATTATAGGATCAGACAGAGGTCTAAAGTCCCTTGACCGTGGGACTCAAGATCACTTTATGGAAACTCGTAAACAGCTAGATCACTTAGGAATCCATTTGATTGCAAATAACTAAATACCCAGCAAACACTAGTTTAAATAGATGAGGATTTACATTTCTCACAGGTAAGATTCTCAAAGGTATGCAGTCTAAAGCTAGCACAGCTTCTCAAAGATGTCTTCCAGGACTCAGGCCTTGCTCCTGTCCTTCTCTGAGGTCCTTAGCATGTGATGTGGCTGAGGAATGATGTTTGTATTCCAAACAGGAAGAGAGGGGCAGAAACAAGGGCAAAAGGCAAAAGGTTTTCACTGTTTCAGTTTATCTTTATTATGGAAAGTCTGCTTTGCCTGAGAACTTGGCCTACATTTCATTGATCACCCCCAGTGGGTAAGGGGGTGATCAAAATACATGAGAAATCAAGTATTTTGTGCAGATGCATCATGTCCTGGAAATAATAGGGGAGAACCTGGAGAGCTGTGGTGTGGGCAACTTGCAGTGTCTGCTGAAAGGACCGACGGCGACTAAAGGGCAAATATAAGAGCCCGTGAGAGTTCTGCGGTGTGGAGGTTTAATAAGTGGTAACATTTATCAGGATCTCTCTAAGGTCTGTGATGAAAAGATGGACAAACTCTACTCTTGGAAATTCAGGCCGAAGTTTAATGTTTAATCTACTCCCCTTGTTTTTGCCTGGCTTTTCTATTTGGCTTTATATATGATTAAAGGAGCACACTCTTAAAATGTAGAAAACCCCTTTTATGTTGTTGTCCTATATTCAAAAGCTGTGACTTTTTCTTTCTCATTGAATGCTCCAGCCAACATTTCCAGCAGAAAATCACAATTAGCAGAACAGCTAAAAGGCTTGCACTTCAAGTGCACTGCAAATAAAGGCAGAGCGCAAGAGGCAGGTGCCTTTGCCTGCCACATCCGGATTAAGGACATGGAATTGTTAGGGCTTCTGGTTTTTGAAGACTGGCAGAAAATCTAGGTTTGATTTCAGGGGGCTGTGTGTGGAAAATTGGATTATTCTTTTGGACTTCATGTTCCCTTCAAGTTAGTATCAGAAGCACGAAATTAAAGGCCAGGGTATGAGTTCTGGTCCTGGTTCTGTTTCAAATCATTATTTGATATTGGGTAAATGTCTTTAGACTCCTTATGCCTCCAACCTATAAAGTGAAGAGATTAAAAGAAATCTCTCAGATCCCTTTCAGTCCGATCATCATATAATTATTACCAAATAAAGGGTACACAGCTTATAAATCAAGTAAATTTGCATCATTGAAAGATTGTCTTTTACGTGAGGAAACCACTTACCCGTCGACATATTTTTAGATTCAGGTGATGTTCACTCAGAGTAACATAAAATCTGATCAAAATAAAAATGGAAGATTTTGCCCATTTCTTCTGCAGGCTATGTTCAAGCATTAAGCTTCGTAACGTGGCAGCAGCTCTAAAAATTAATCTTGTAGATACATTAAGAGAAAGCAGTGGTACTCTCTGGGATAATGATATCTTTAGGGGAGCGGGCACATGAAGTGACTCTGCACTGCTACACAGGGAAGCACCTGACTCCTTTCCCCTTCCCACAGAGAAACATATTAAAAATTCCCGTTGACATCCACCGAAATGTGCTTGTCTCTGCTGGCAGCAGTCAGCAGCTCTGAGATCCAGTTCCTTGAGCTGTGCTGACATTCCTGACAATCTTGATGGTGAAAGACAAGGAAATAAATATTCTTATTATGGGCCCCATTAGAAACTGTGTGCACAGTAGCACTGTGAGCAAGACAGGCAGGGCGAGGAAATTTTCGAGAAAACAACAAAGAAGAGCTTCAAGGTTGTACGAGAGCCCCTCAGACATCCATCAGTTTGGGGCGTTAGAGACAACAGTTTCCGGTGAAATCTCCCCAATTACTCAAAAGCCTCTGATGCAAACTGTACAGCAGTGATTCTCTGGCCGCTTTTCCAGGCTGTGCATCGCCATAAAGCTGGCAGAATCACCGTGAGCTACTGGACATACTGAGCATTTTAGACCCAGCATATGGTATCCCAGTTTCAATTGTAACAGATCATGCCGAGGAAAGGAAATGAGTCAGCCTTTATTATATCAGTGGGGGACTGAGTAATGGCATGAAATCCATTGTAAGGGATGCTGCATGTCCTATTTCAAAAGCTGTGCAGTGTCAGACCTTCTTAGGGTAACAGAGAAATGAGCAGCAATTAATCTGTTTTGAAAAGCATTTCAGTCAGCCAGTATTTCTAGCACGCTTCCATTCACTATTTTGTAGCGTCTTTGTCATTTCTTGTTGTGTATATATTCACCAAGAATTCACATATATATCTATATCTATATATATATAGATATATATATAGATATATGTAAGAATTCAGATGTGATGTTGCTGCATAGATTTTACCATGAAATGTTAAAAATAACAACCCCAAAATAGAAATGACTCTGATGAACTCTGGCTGTCCCTCCTGATAGAAACAGACATTACTGAAGCCCAGGATATTCATTTTGCTTTCTGCCAACTCCAGGGTCATTTGCCACCAGGAATTCGTGACCTTTCACCAAGCTCTCATTAAATAGGAATAAAACTGGAACTTTGATATTCTTCCTTGTAATATACTAAAATTGGTAGGTTATTAAATCCTCAACAACCATTCTTCAAGGAGGTTTTTGTGTCATTCCTTCTTTTTCTATGAGTCTCTAAGATCCTTGTTACTTACAGGGTGGTCCCTGGACCAGCCATGTCAGCGTCACCTGGAAATTTGATTAAAAGGAAGAACATCAGATCCCACCTAGGACCTACTGAATCAGGGCTTGCATTTTGATAAGATCTCCAAGTGAGCCTCTGCTCATGAAAGTTTGAGAAGCCCTGACCTGTATCTTTGGTTCACACACGCACCCCACCCCTGGCCAGTAGTGGGCAGGCATTTTATGAATCACCAGGGCGACTTCTTAAACCCACACTTGCACAGCCTTTTCTCAAGGACACTCTGACCCCATAAATCTGTAGTGGGGTCCCCAACACTGTTTTTTTTTTTTTGTTTGTTTTTTAAAAAAACCTCTCATTGATTCTGAGGCAGCACCAGATTTAAGACTCGGTCAACTTTGATTACCTTCAATTATATATAAAACTAGCCCAGGTCCAGCCCTTTAGTGATGGGGTGCTTTCATTTCTATATCACCCAAGCAGAATGTTTGGGCATGCCCTATGAAAAATTTATATTTGAAAGAATTTGAATTAAAATCTAATCACCCCTAAGGCTTTACCCTTAACTTGGTATATTTTTGTAGTTACACACAGGGAAATGAACAATTAAGAAAAGACCAGCTTTTCTTTGGTATTCATATTTAGAAATAGCATTTTACATTCAACCAGCTCTTCCTACAATGTTATTAGTGAAAGTGTGGCTTCTAAGAGTATTAAAAAAAAAAAAAGATAAGAAATGCATCTGATTCTGAGATTATTTTTATTATTAGGGATTTTAGAGACACTAGCTAGAATTTTCATTATTAGATGCTTTTGCACAGAACACATTCCCAGGGAAGTTGAATCCCATTCACAGGGCATCAGACCCAGGGACCTATAACAGAACATCTGTAGAGTTCTTCATGGTGTTTATAAGGCGTTAGTTTACATTATACTATCTTTTGATCCTCACAATAATCCCACAGGAAGTAAAAGCATGTGTTTCATAGATAAGAAAATCAAAGCAAAGAGATTATTTCAGGGCACATGCTAATCAGTGCAGGAACAAGAATTACTGTTGCCTGGATTGTGTCCTTTATTGCAGATAGTAGAGCATGGTGGGAATGTGTAGTACTCTCTATTATACCAGTGGTTTTTTGGG